GCACCGAGCCTATCATAGGATTTTTGTGAGGATTAAATTAGATATTTTTATGAAGTGCTTAGAAGAATGCCAGACACATAGAAAGCACTTAATAAATATTAACTCCTACTGTTAAATTTCTCATTTGTTGCATTATTGTCTATTGGTGTGGAATAAGTTATCCTAAAATTTAGAGGCCATTAATGTTTGTCATCTTCCACAGTTTCTGTATGTCAGGAATTGGGAAGTGGCTTAGGTGAACTCTTCTAGCCTGGGATCTCTCCTAAGGTTGTGATCCAGATGTCATTTGCAGTTGTAGTCATCTGAAGGAACTTTTGATGCTGGTGGATCCACTTCCAAGGCCTCAGTTCTTTTTTTGAGACAGAGCCTCAAGTTGTCACCCTGGCCAGAGTGCTGTGGCATCACAGCTCACAGCAACCTCCAACTCCTGGGCTCAAGCCAGTCTCCTGCCTCAGCCTCCCAAGTAGCTGGGTGCCTGCCATGATGTCTGGCTATTTTTTGGTTGCAGCTGTCATTGTTGTTTGTTGGGCCCGGGCTGGATTCAAACCCACCACCTTAGGTGTATGTGGCTGGCGCCTTAGCCACTTGAGCCACAGGCACCAAGCCAAGGCCTCAGTTTTTCTCTCTGTGGTTCTTTTCACAGGATTGTCTAAAGTTCTTTTTTTCTTTTTTTTTGAGACAGAGTCTCACTCTATTGCCATGGGTAGAGTGCCGTTGCATCATAGCTCACAGCAAACTCAAATTCTTGGGTTCAAGTGATCCTCTTGCCTTAGCCTCCAGAGTAGTTAGAACTACAGGCACCTGCCATGATGCCCAGATAATTTTTCTACTTTTAGTAGAGATGGGGTCTCACTCTTGCTCGGGCTGGTCTCTTAACACGTGAGCTCAAGGGATCCACCTGCTTTGGCCTCTCAGAGTGCTAGGATTTCAGGCATGAAACACCTCGCCTGGCCAGCATTGTCTAATTTTCTTATGACATGGCAGCTGGCTTGTTCATTTGAGGCTACACTGAGCAATTTAAGAGTCTAAGGCAGAAACCCCAGTGCCTTCACACAGATAGCTCTGATTTAGTGTGGGAGGAGATTAGACAGGGCATGAAATTCAGCATGTAAAGGTTATTAGGCTGGGTGTAACATTTGTATTTTGTTTTCTTCCAAGGAAATTAGCATGAGTAGAAGGCCCTAGTGATAGCAGACACAGGGATGCACATTGGCTAGACAAGAATTCTTTTTTTTTTTGAGACAGAGCCTAAAGCTATTCCCCTGGGTAGAGTGCTGTG